AAAAAACATTATGCTGATGCAGATGAACACAGGAAGTTTGGATTGCTGAGATCATTTAATAAACTAAGGGTGTTTCACACTCTTTTCTTGAGACAGGCAACCAAATGCTATGATACTCCATTTAGGTGCTCTCTTTCTTCCCGTTACCTCAATGCATTAACCTACCCTCACCAAGGCAGAGTAAGCAGGCTGGGATTTAACTTCACTTTTCAGCATTTGAAAAGAACAGGATTAGTTCCCATTTCACCCCCTCTCACCCCATGCCCCCAGCAGCCAGGGTCAGCAGCACATAGCAAATGCAGAGGTCTCCTATATGTACACGGACACCCACAGCAGCAGCAGAGAGGGTATGGTCCCAAAAATGCCCCTGGCCATGCTAACGGCTGTGCCTTGAGCTTTCTCCTCCACAAAGGTGCCCATTCTTCTTCAGCTTAAGGCTTTCTTTCTATGTGAGGGGCTCTGTCAGCAGCTCTGTTAGCAAAAAGTCCAAGCAGGCTCCTCCTCTCCACTGTAGGAAGGGGACTCTGGGCACACGGCCGGCTGGTGCGTGCCACAGCAAGGTGGCCAAGATCAGGTGCTCCTGCTGCTAAAGTGGAAACCCAGAGAGGGGAGCAGTGCTGTCACCCACACTGGGCAGGCTGACCCTGTCCTGCTGCACCCACAGCTCCATACCATGGAGCTTATTAGCCAGTGGTTCAGGAGAGCTGCTTAACTCACTCCTGAGTGTTGGTAACAAATAAAAGTATTTGTGGTATCACAAATGGGACACAAAGCACAAAGGTGACTCCTGGCTTCCCAAGAAACATACTCTTTCCTCCCTGAGGCTGCAGTTTGCTGCCTCAGCTCAGGCAGGCTTCCACCCACCTCATAGAAGACAACACGCACTGTCCCAAGGAGGGGAGAGCTCTCAGCAAGGAGCCCCACAGACATACCCAGGCTAGAATTGCTAGGCAAGAACAAGAACAGCTAAGATATGCCCCACCACACACACTCCCCTTCCCTCCCCTCTCATGCCGGAAGGATTATGGGGCCAGTGTAGGGAACTTCTTGTCCTGCCAGGGCATAAACCTTCCTCTCCCAGTCTCCAGGAGGCACAAAGCAGCTCTGAGAGGCTGCAAGCAGACAGGCTTTATATGGAGTTCCCACAAATATCACTGCTTTTATTTAAGGCAGAAAACACAGGATGTTACAGATGAGTGGAAAAATGTGATGTGCCCCACTGCCTGCAGAGCCCCTCACACTGGACAATGCTTTTCTGGAAGTCGGAGGGTCTCCAGACAGGATTAGGAAAGCACATAGTGTCTGCTCTAACTTTTTATTTTTGCCCTGCTTGGCTGCAACTACACCTCCCTGCACCCCACACACAAACACCCTCCCAGCTAGGGTCCCATACCTTCCCTCCCACTTACAGCTTCCCATAGCCCTTTTGTATTTGACTCCTGGGAGGCCCTTTTCAAGCTTTTTTGGCAGCTCCATCTCTTTGAAACACTGGAAAGCTACCAGCGAGAAGCCTGGCTCCGGCTCCCTGCCACCAGTGCTGGCAGCAGCTTACCCTGTGCTCTGCCAGGCTCTGCCCCTCTGCAGGAGCCTGAGCAGCCCCAGCCCAAGCTGGGCAGGAGACACTGCCACCCCTGCCCCTGTTCACCTTCACATGGGCAAGTTGTAGCATTCAGTGGCTTAATAGCTTGCACAGCCACTGCTTTATAGCACCTGCCAGCATTTACGGAGTGCCAGAGTTCCCTGAACTCCGACACCTGTTACAGAGTTCCCTTACACAGCTTTGGGGAAGAATCATCCAAAAGATTTTATTTTATTCCTGTTTTGATGATCATGCAAGACAAAGGCAGCCACAGATATATTATTCCTCCCTGCTGTTACCATGTTTTTTATTCTTTAAGCTAAACAGCTACCAACCAACCTATCTAACATGTCTATCAAGATAAATTGGAGACATCTCAAACATTTAGTTTCCAGAAAACCAGCACTGACAACTTACTTAACTGTCCACACATTTGTTCACTTCTGCTCCTTACCTTGTAATTGCTGGAGAGCTAGAAAACAGCAGAAGACCTCAGAGTAAGGCACAAACCACATTACTTCTGTAACACCAAGTTAGCCTCAATGCCACTACACTTAATTTATACTGCTTGAAACCTGGCCCAGAGTGCCTCCTAATTGATTACAACTAGAAACTGTTGATTGGCTTGCCCCTAGTGTCAGTGACCACAACTACACAATCTGGTAAAAGAAGAGGCAGTTACTATTTTTTAACCATAATTCCACTTTTTGAGCATAGTAAAATAGCTAAGCAGTGTATTGAATGACATAGTATTACTCATATGCTTAAGCACCTGAGTCCTTGATCTTGTGCTTTATAAAGTGCTCTGAGCTGTGCTGTAATTGCCTATAAATATGCTGCTGATCATGCTTACAAGGACACTGTCAAGGTTGGAAGGCCTACAGATTGACTTAGTAAAGTGACAACTTAAAATAGTTTTATTCTCAGTGTTCCTAAATTACCAACCTGTGTTTTTTCTCATGCTTCCTTTTATCAGTCCAGCTCCTAGTAGTAATAAGGTTATGGGAGAATGTTCACTTTAAAAGCAATGGACCAGGCATAGAAATAGTATGATAGAGGCTAATGTTCCCATCCTGAACATGCAAATAAAAGCACTTTACTGTAAAACCTATTTTTCCTGATGTGAATGGGCATGACCTCTATTGCCCTTATGATTTGCCATAAGGTCACCCCTTGCAGACTACTGCACACCAACGTCTTGTGAAAGAAAGAGCACAAGGCTGAGGCGATCAGGTCTGGGCAAGTCTGCAGCTTCACCAAGTACCCATTTTCCATGGTGTGTCTTTGTCAGCAGGGAACAGAGTTACAAAGCTGGTAAGGAGCCTGCAACTTCATCTCATCTTCAGCAGTGCTGTTGGGAATGCAGAGGGGTGATGGGATGGGGAAAACACAGGGATGAGAGCCCTTTTCCGCACTGTCCCTTCTGTGAGCAGCTCTGTGGCTGAAGCCCAGCGGCGGGGGAGCTGAAGCCAGCTATTGAGGAGCTTTTTGATCTCAGGCAAAGAGCAGTACTGGACTTTCTTTAAGGAAAGAATACAAATAGCTGAGGACTAAAAGGTAGCCTGGGATTTTTCCTTTCCTGAAGGGCTTGGTTTGTTTCCGAGCTGAATAACTCAAACTCCCTCTGAGCTGCAGTCCTCCAGCACACTCTGTACTCACAGGAAACCTGCAATGCCACAGTCGCCAAACCCACAGATGCCAGTAAATGAAAATGTATGGCTCATTGGTGCCAGGGACAATGCAAGGCAAACAGGGAGAAAGTGCAAGCAAAAGCTGTGCTGATAGTTCCAGAGTGGCTAGTAGAAAGGCATTTTTGGAAGATGTGGTCTTGCCCCCTTGCAGTATTCTGCTAGCCTCTGTGCTGCAAGGTTTGAAGACAAAGCTCTTGAGTTTCCACAAACATGTGCCTAGAGCTAGGCTTCACCTTCCTTTCTGTCTGGAAGGTGAAAGATTTACAGATACCCTAGACACGAGGCAGCGTTTTGAATGTCCTTATCCATCACAGGTGTATGTTGGATACAGGATAGACATTGTTTAAACTCCAGGGATTTGAGGGAAGCCCTGGCAAAACCGTGTAAAAAAAATTCAGAAAGAACAAAAAACAAAAAGAAAATAAATGTCTCTGGAGCCTGGGAAAAAGGCACACCTCCAGCAGCCATGGGGCTGGTGAGTGCCTGTGTCTGGTGGCATCACTTGATGCTGCAGTTCCTCAAAAAGGTGGCAAGAGTAAAAATCTTCTTCACTTTTTTTCAGTTTCAGGAAAGAGAAGAAAGTAAAAAAAAATCCTCAGGCTGAAGATGCCACAGAACAGAAAAAGGGAATTCTAATGTCAGTCTAACAGCAGATATGGCTCAAAGTTTCAGCAGGTGGGAAGGTGCTCCCCACGCTTCCAGTAGGCATCCAAGAGAGCAGGGCAGCGTAGGGGCTATGTCTCTCACTCGGGTAAGCCTTGTAAGGTGTGAATATGGATAAAGACTTGAAAAATCTCATGTGTCTAACACCAAAGAGTGCATTTCAGGCTCTAACAGTTACAGAGAAACACTTGAAAGTGCAACTTGCATATATTTTAACAGCTTCCAGAAACCAGAATAAAAGCAAAATGAGCCCAAAACCTGTACTTTTAAAAATCTCATGTTTTTTAGGCAAAGCTCGTATCTCTGATTTGTGTTGAGCTGACTCGATAATTTTAAATGGTTGTCCTTGAGAATTGTAAGTCTTGTTTTATTTTTTGTAGGTTTATCCCATAGAAATGCTTAAAAAGCAATAAAGTCAATCTCAACAGCCTTGCTTAAATCCATGATTATATCAGTTCTGTGTTATGGGTATGCAGGGAGAAACTATCTGAGCAGGAGATTGTAAGGGATTCCTGCAACAATAGTTACATCGTTAGCACACTTACATACAATAATAATAACAACAGAAAAGCAATAACAACCTTGCAATTACAAAAAATACCCAATGCCCTTTAAAAATGTATGTGTATATTCTGTGTTTACCCAGATTAAGTGTCACTAGGGGCTAATATTTTATGTACTCTATATATTCCATCTGGTTTATTAAAGTTTTTTCTGTGCTACTTGTCTTCAAAACTGTGGTAGTGCCTTATGTTCACCAAGAGGAACCCAAGTTCCATGAAAGGTAAGCACCTGCAAGCCGAGAACAGGAGCGTGTAAGAAACCTGGATTAATTTAATGACAGTGCTTTATAATGGATGATATAAATTTTCCTGCTGTGGTTGTTATGTACATTCAACAGTTTTATTGTATGTCAGTGCACATTATTCGGCACAGCTGCTAGAGAGGCATTGCTGAACTGGTGTTTCTCTTCCATGACAAACACCTATTAAGCAGTCAGCATAAACTCTTCTTGTTACAGCCTCTGACATCACCCTCAGGGCAAGCGGACACAGAACAGCAATTGCTGAATCGCGTATGAAAATTATAGTTTTATTGTCTATACAAGTGAAGGTTTAACTCAGATTCCTGCTCGAGTCAGCTCTGTTATAAAGGAGTGATTCTTTCAGGGTACAAACAAGCACAGTACACCATTGTAATCAAAGGAACAGACACTATTTATGTATTGGAAAGCCTTGTTCACAATAGTGCTAACACACTAATGCCCCAGAAGCCACTATTTTAGCAGCTGTAGAGAAAATAAAGCATGACTAACAAGATACCATACAGAGTCAGATACAGTTTTTTTAGTACACAGATGGAATCATCCCGTTTAATATAATTCAGTTTAAAGGCACGACCAATAAGTGGGAACCATGTATTTAATGTTTATATAAGCATTTTCTCCACCGTAGCGTTCAAAGGCTTCCAGTGTCTCTTGAATGAGAACTCCAATATTTTCACGCTTCTGCTGGCTGTATTCTATTCCATCGCCTAAATTAACTGGTTAATAAAAGACAAAAAAAATATATTTAAAGTCTTATACTTTGAAATAATGACATAGGAAATTGCAATTGCTGGTCAGTCACTGTGCCTCTATTAGAAACTTTGTTCTGTGACATGAAACAGAGCTGAATTTGAAAATAGGATTGGTTTGGTATCTCTTTAAGGCTCTGCTCAGGCTCTAGTTTCATACACCTTCAAAATTCATGTACACATTACTTTAGTATCTAAGAAAAAATCCTAATAAAAATAAAGAAAACACATTCTTTTATAAGATGAATATGGACTCTCTTACACTGTTAATCTCTTAAAACCATTCCTTCTTTATTTCTAACATTGCTTATTTAAGACAAAATTCAACTGCCAGATGCATAAGCACTTCTCTACAAAACATGATTTAATCTAGAGTTGTTATGGTTTGAAACCTTAAAAAGGTATTGGTTTGGGATTGCTCCCTGTTAGACATCATATTCAAACACTTTTTTTGTTTCTAATAGAGGGAATGTCATCTGGCCTAAAAGAGATTTTTTTGGAGTATAACATGGTACTCATTAAATTTCTGCTTCCTGAAAAATGTGTAAAAGTAAGTCAATGCCAAAAGGAAAAATTGTTGCAGACCCCAGATGCAGTAACATTTACTTCTGCTTTCTCTAACATGGACTAGCAAGGGTGACACACGATCATACACACAGATCATAATTCTTTAAAAATCAGTGTGAACAACTGCGACAACAAAGCAAGAACAATAAGAAATAACTTCACCTGTCAAGATGCTGAGAGATTTAAAGGAGGAGAATATAATTAGTTTGGTTTTAAAAGAATATTCTGCAAAGTATCTGAATATATATTCCAAGACATATATGAAAAATAATTTGGTAGGAGCACAACGTACTCAGATGGTGGTACGCGGCGTGTGGTGTAGCGGTCAGGTGGGGCAGCTGTCACACTGCTGTAAGGTAGTCCACACGCAAGCAGCCAGTGGCCTCACTGTAGGCAGCAGGGACAATATGCCCATAAGAAACATTTAACATCTCAAACAACACTGTTTGCTCATTGACACTCTCAGCCAGCCAGCAAAAGACAGGCTTGTCAAGACAATGTAACCAACTCCTCGGGCATTGCTGCCTTTCACATTAGAAACACGGCACACAAGGGCAAGCGTAGATTTTGCTCCCACTGCAGATTCCCTGGTCGATGAGACATAGATGTACAACTCCATGCATCCTCATATCCTCTCCTAGATCTGAGGCCAAGGCTCTGGATTTAAAGCTCGTGACTTTGTTATCAGTAAAAACTGAAGAACCACGCTTGTGAAAAAAGAGCTGGTAAACATGGGAAAAAATCATCCTTTTGCTGAATTTTCCTGTAATATATCTGATTGCACTCCAAGTTAATTATGTGTATACCAGTTTTTCAAACTGCTTACACATATTTATGTCACTTTGCTTTTTATGAAATGGGTACACAAATACAGATGTGACATGCAAGGGCTGCCCTTCTGAGTGGAAAGGTAGTAATTTTTTTAAATGATGATTACTTTTAAGCACACAAATATTTTTGAATACATTAACTGTTAATTTCACTGACATTAGAAGTCAGGATTGTGACATCAAAATTTATTACAATGAATTTACTGTAATGTTAGAAATAAGAGATTATGAGAGTGTATAGAAAACACCAGGAGCTATTAAAAAAAGGATTGGCTTATACAAAATACTAATGCAAAAAGAAAAGCACATCACAATTGAGTGCAATTTAGAGTAAACATGGTTTGCTCTTGCAGAAAACAATGGAGATAACTGTGCCTCATCACCTGTCTTGCTTGCACGCTGCCAGCACTCTCCAGAACACCTGGAGGTATTTCTGATTTCACCAGTCTGAGCAAAGGAAACCCTGAACCTTGACCTAAGTCTTGGCAAATATGTAAAGGAATTACTGACTTTCCAACCATATGTCTATTATCTGTAATTTTAAGCCTACACACATGCTCTGCTAATGAGCTTACACAGCTTTCATCATTCTTTCAAAGAAGTAGGAAAAAAATCAGCTGGAAGTAATGGGGATACATTGCTAAAGAAGTTTGGAGGAGGCCAACAAGACTGTGATAATGCTGGTAGAAGAGGTATTTTCCAGAATTGCATGTTACACTCTTTATTAGAAAGCATACTCTGTACAAAAAATGACATCTTAGATGCTTGATTAAAAGGTACCTAAGAGATGGAGGCAATGATGAAGGAAATAGCCTGCAAGCAAAGACCGAATGTGTGATGTGCAGACTGTCATTACAATTTTTTTTTCCTATAGACCATCTGTGCTATATGAAGGTTTGTATCCTCAAGACAGCCATAATTCACACTAATGTCATGACACAAGCTACAACCAACAATGCTAGAAAGGTTATGTCAGCATCGAGGTCACCTGGTAAGTACTAAAATAGCTATCCTATGTAGTTACAGGAATTAACAAATCTTTCAGACAAAAAAGATAATCATTAACCCAAGAGGACAACATCCATTACATGGATGAGTCAGAATGATCTGCCCAATGCACCTAAGGGTAAATATCTATTCATAATAGTAATGATGATTAGTTGGAAAAAAATAGCCATTGAAGTATGGCAGACTCAGCATGCCCTTCTCTGGTTTGACTTTATTTCCAAGTTAGTTTGCCTGAAAAGCCAGCTTTGTCAGTCACAAAAATGTTGCATATGTAAAGTGTGAACGTGGGTCTGATTCAAGCTCTTTATGAAATTGTCCTTTATGAGGAAGAATAAATCAACATGAAAATCCTAGGAAGCACATTCGTCATATCTTTGTGCCCAAGTGAAATGTATGGCAAATTCAGCAGTCATCAAGAACTCTTTTCAGAACAAAAGTTATTTCTGTGTTTGGAAGAAACACACTGAAGGACTAGTAACAGATATAGAGGATTACAATCAGGAAAAGATCTCGTTTTCCCTTCCTAGACCAAAAAGTTAGTTCCCAATCTCCCAAATCATGCACCAAAGGTTTTATGGTCCTTAAAGCAAAGTGAAAGTCTTTGCACCTGTCAAGACCTGTGTTAGCTGATGAAATCACCCAGCACACCAAGCCCAGGAATGGCACTCACTGCCCTGCCAATGCCAGCTGCTGTAGCCAAGGAAACCCTGCTCAGATCCTCAGGGACTGAACTCAGCATTTGGCAGGGAACATTTGGCAGAGGATTTGAATTTTGTTTTAAAACGTGGCTTGTATTTGAGTTTAGACATGGTTCTATTAATGATTCAGGATATTAAAGAAATTCTGGTATTATTTGTATTCCATCTCATTTTGTTTTGAAATTTCACTAGGGTAATGCTAAAAATATAAAATTTTATTGCATTAAAGAAGGACAAGCAAGTTTCTCCCAATGCACTAAGAGCCCAATATGGCAGCTTTGAAGTTCTGGAGTGGACAAGAAGGGTAAAACAACCCGTAAAGCTCAGTCAGATCTATTCTTAATTCTGGACATTTGTTAGCATCTGAAAGTGTCCAAGACATTTTTTCAGTGTATTAGATTTCACTTCAAGGTAGGCCAGATCTCAAAAAGAAGGTTTTTTAATCCCCCAAATATGTTGCTTGTAAGTATGTCAGAGATATCAGAGTTCGGTCTTGGTGGTGATTGCTCCAAAGGTGATTGCTTTATGGAAGACACAAATTAAAACATGAGTTTTCATGCACCTATTGTTGAAGGGATGTCATAGAACTTGGGATATCATATTTTCCCCATGTGTTAAATATCTGAGGAATGCTTAGTATTAGAGGGTATAATAATACTTAAAAGAGATTTCTGAAGAGACTGTGAAGACAGCCCCATGTCCCCAGCTTAGGCAACATTTTTAATCAAATTATAACTCAAAGGCTATTCCTTTATTCTTTAATGATGAAAGTGATTCTTTATTGATTTTAAGAACATACAGGCCTACACATATATTTCGACTTATTGCTTTGGAACTGTTGCCTAAAATGATTCTTAGCAGAAATTTTTGAAGTACTACTAGTTAACAAAGACCTCTTGTATAATGGCTTTGGGTTTTTTTTCTGGTTTGTTTTTTTTTTCTCGTTTGTACACAAATCAGTAAAACTACTTGGAAAGACATTCCTCCCTCTTTGAATCCTAAGAAACAAAGATACTGAAAGGTAAAGTGACTTGTTCCAAGTCATGGAAGGGATCAGTCACAAACCACAATTTTCAACTTTTTATTGCCGATGATGAAAGTTCTGTTTATGGTAAAATGTAATTATGGTAAAAATCAGTTTTAAGTGGATCAGTTCATCCTAGTCCAACCAACACGTATTTTCAGCAATTAGAAGGTTTACAGAAATGCAACACGGTAACCTGAATGTTGCTTCAAAACAAAAAAAGCCAGCTGCAATGAGATTGAGCCTGTCACAGAACAAAATGCAGTTAAGCAGGACAAACTAGCATTAAAACATTTTGAGGAAAATTTCTGGACTTTTTTTCCTTCTGGGAGTTATCACCAATACCAAGAAATAAACAGAAGCTGATTTCAGCTATAGATTGACAGGCATCTATGTCAGGATTCACACCATGTAAGTTCAGAGCTCATGTGCAGTTCAGAGCTTAATGAGTTTCTCAAAGTCTTCTTGTTAGGAAAAGTTTAATTGCCATAGAAGGTGTTGACTTACTGACTGGAGTGGAAAATGAAAGCCCCTGATGAGTCACTGCGGGGAGAGGGAGGAAGGCTCCTTTGCACCACTCCTATCATTGTGACTCAGAACCTGATTTTGTCAGATCCGGGAAGGATGAGGTAGTTCGGTCTCCCTGTTCATTTAATTGAAAGTTTGTGAAAAGTCACCTAACAGGTAAGACTCTAAACCCTTCCTGTCTGCTAGGAAACAGTGGGACATTGCCAGTTCATTTCACTCAGGGCAAGGAAGAGACACCAAGAGGTTATGGCTTCTGGTTGTTACCAACCCAGACAGAGAACTCCATGTTCCCTTCCTGAAGGCTCAGAGCAA